CAGGAATGTGCTACATTTGCGATCACTACTCCGGTGATGTGCCCGGGCAGATTGGGGGGCTTTAAGCAGTTATTACATAAAAACAAAATTGTGGTTGGGATTCCTCCCTTTCAATCTATAAAATCAAAGTAAAGATCAGAATCGTTCTTCATACTTAGAGGAACCCGATGAACTATTAAGTAGTTTTTTCACAAATGGCAAAGATGCATTGAGATGAAAGCCGTGTATGCTAGCATAAAGATAAGTAAAGAGCGAAGCAGATTGAGTTAAATGACAGGAGACTTAGATTACTGGAGACACATTGATGGGAGTTAGATGTAAGAGAGAGAGGCGTAGGGATGAGAGATGAATTCGCGACCTGACATTAGGCTAGTCCCAATAATTGCGCGGGGGGCCCTGAATGTTCACTTTGTTTTGCTAATGCCTAGAGCCACCGGCAATGATGCCCCAAATCCTGAATTGGAGTTCGCTGAAGGATGCAATGGCATCTTCTTGGTTCTTTCGGTAAAGTCACGTAGAAGGGAAATAATAAAATAATAAAAATAAAACAATAAAATAAAATTATTTTATTTTAAATAAAAGAATACAATTATTTTATTTTATAATGTTTTATTTGTATCATTTTATTATTTCCCTTTATTTTATTTTAAATAAAAGAATACAATTATTTTATTATGTTTTATTATTTATTATTTTATTATTTCCATTCTACGTCACTTTACCGAAAGAACCAAGAAGATGAATCCCTGCAGTCACGAAAGCTTTAAATCGAGATGCAATGGCATTTAATGGGGTATTGAACTATACATAGGAAGTAGCGCAGTGATGTGCCGGTTGGTCCAGATGTTTTGTGACCCCCCCCCCCTCCCCGAATTAATTGACCCCTAACATTTTTATTTTATTTGCATATTAATTTCTGTGGCAAATAAACCTTGCTTTTAAAATATGACGCTTTGGAGAATGAAATAGGGGTCACAAGACATCTGGACCACCCCGTACATGTAATTACATGACTACAGTACACATAAGTACACTACTTTATTGCATTTAACACTGCAGGTAAAATATCCCAAGAATGGAATGTTTTACTACATTCAAGATATCGAAAATGTTACATTAGATGTATTGTTATAAGGGTTCGCTCACAGACGTGATTATATTTATCACAACATTTCAAACGGCCTATTTCTCTCTCTAAACATTTACCAGGCTCTCATATGTCCATTCGCTCTTTCTCTACACCGGCCGCTTCGGGGTGGATTTCCACACAACTCTCTCTAAAATGTACCAGTCTTGCTGGGTCTTTCATTGACATGCTAATTTCTCTACCCCCCCCCCCCTCTCTCTCTATTTAAGGCCACGACACAGAGGCATTGGGTCTCTATGTGTCTATGTTGTGTGTCTCTGTGTGTCTCTGTGTTGTCTCTCTCTCTCTCTCTGCTTGTGTGTCTGTCTGTGTGTGTCTGTGTTTTGTCTCTCTCCCAAATTTAGTTCTACCTGATGACGATTGCTTGTGTTGCAATCAAAACGTCGTAAACTATTATTCAATTTATTTTCTTTCTATGTGACATTTACCGAAAGAACCAAAGAGTGATTATAAAACGTGTTTGTTTCGTTTGGGAAGATTACCTCCAGTCTGAGAAGACATTACGAGGATTACGTTAGATGCGAGCTCGGAATAACAATGCCAGACGGACAGAAGGCATTTTTTGCGTTCTCTGGTCTGAATCTGATGAGACAAATCCATGAAGAATGCTGCTGTCTCTGATGTTGGCCAATCAGTTTCAAAGTCAATGCGTAGATAACACTGTGTAACAATTCATTTTTTATCCCTCGATAGTAAGTGTTATTGTCTAATTGTTTATGCCTCAAAAGTACATAAAATGGCTATTATTCCCCACGAACCTTTCTTTTGTGACCAGGACACAAAAGCAAAGTTAATCATTAATCTACTCCATTAATAACACTGTGTAACAAAAAAATGTTGTTCCTGGGTCGTGTTAGTTCCTAATTGCTTATGCTTCAAAAGTACAGAAAATAGCTATTATTACCCACAAACTTTGCTTTTGTGACCAGGACAGTGATATTTGGAATGTACCTATTTTCAATGAGAAAACGTGTGTATTTGTGTCATTCCTTCACGTAAAGTCCTGGTCACAAAAGCAAAGTTTGTGGAGAATAACAGCCATTTTCTATACTTTGTAGGCATAAATAATTAAAAAAATAACACTTACTACCCAGGGACAAAAATCGTGTTACATAGTGTTATCAGAGCATTGGTTTAACACATATGCTTTCTTGACCACAATTATCCATAATATAGGTTTTTTTGGGTTAGATCACCTATCAGAGGATGTTTATTTGCATGTTCACCACAAGTACTTGTGGTTAACGCAGGCTTGGCATCTTGCAAAATGTATCTATTTGGTGTTTGGCATCATAACACCTCGTGTTTTATTGCCAAAAAGGGTCAAATATATTCTTATTACTGTTAAAACGTCGGTTTGATTGTCATGCTACGAACATTGCTGTCATAAACAGGGCAGATGGGAAGGTGCTGCCCTCTACCGTGCTGAGTTGAAGTCACGCACCCGAAGGGTTCTCAGATCTAGCTCTATGGTATCCTATTTAACTATTTTTTATTTGTTTTACCAGGTAAGGCTAACGTAGCTCTTTTTCAGAAGCGACCTGGCCACAAATGATAGCTCAATGAAGTGGCTTATCACGTGGACATTTATAGCAGCCAAATACTCGAAGCCCGTGTTTCAAAATGTGGGGGGGAAACCCGGAGGACCCGGAGAAAAATCCACGTGACCATGGGAAGAGAGAGAGAGACGCAAACTCCAAATATACAGCAGGCGTCAGGGTCGGATTCGCACCCACGACCTCCTGTATACCAGGCAAAAGAGTTAACATCTCCTAGCCACCATGTTACCCCGTTGGCCTTTCTCTTGCTTTTTCATTGCTTTCATGGAATTATTTTTGGTGATTTCGAAAAGTGTATTGGTTTAGCCATGTTTGTTGTAGTAGAGTTAGACTGATGGCCTTAATCTAAGTTGTCTTATGGTTGTTGTTGTTTGACTTTCATCCCACTGGGATTTTTGCACACAGCGTTGGTGTACGGTGTTTTTTTCTGCAATATTTTGCTGTCTTTTCTTGGATTTTCTGTTTGCACTTAGTCACATATTCACTATAAGATGTTTTTTTTATGTTTTTGTTTTTTGTTTGTTGCGGTTGCACCCGATTCAAGAGCCGAATGGCTCACAGGGCTATACCTAATAAATGAACTTGAACTTGAACTCTTTGTAACACATAGCGTCGCAGTGGGGATACAAATGGGGTGAAAAATTACTTGACAAAAAAACATACGGTATTACGAGCGTTGTTGATCGAGGTTAATGATACTGGGAGCTTATATAATGCTAATGACTCTGGTAACCTTCACGTTGACTTTAATAACGTATCAATGTTGAATAGGGTTCAAAAATACGAACGATAGCCCATAAATCACTTGAACTTAAAGAAAAGATTAGTATCCTGTCTGACGTTACATGGTAAACTGGACTTTCATGGTAAACTGGACTCCCATGGAAACTGGACTTCCATTGTAAACTGGACTCCCATGGAAACTGGACTTCCATTGTAAACTGGACTCCCATGGAAACTGGACTTCCATGGTAAACTGGACTCCGATGGTAAACTGAACTTCCATGGTAAACTGGACTCCCATGGTGAACTGGACTCCCATGGTGAACTGGACTTCCATGGAAACTGGACTCCCATGGAAAACTGACTCCCATGAAAAACTGGACTTCCATGGAAAACTGGACTTCCATGGAAAACTGGACTCTGATGGTAAACTGAACTTCCATGGTAAACTGGACTCCCATGGTGAACTGGACTCCCATGGTGAACTGGACTTCCATGGTAAACTGGACTTCCATGGAAACTGGACTCCCATGGAAAACTGACTCCCATGGAAAACTGGACTTCCATGGAAAACTGGACTTCCATGGAAAACTGGACTCCCATGGAAACTAGACTCCCATGGTAAACTGGACTCCCATGGTGAACTGGACTCCCATGGAAAACTGGACTTCCATGGAAAACTGGACTCCCATGGTAAACTGGACTCCCATGGAAACTGGACTTCCATTGTAAACTGGACTCCCATGGAAACTGGACTCCCATGGTAAACTGGACTCCCATGGTAAACTAGACTCCAATGGTAAACTGGACTCCCATGGAAACTGGACTTCCATGGTAAACTGGACTCCCATGGTAAACTGGACTCCCATGGAAAACTGGACTCCCATGATAGAGATGACAAATCATTAAAGCCGCGTATTGTAATTGTATTTGGTAGAACTCACAAGATAATACGTTTCTTAAACTTAATTGAATGTCATAGTCCACACAAGCAATGGGTGTACACGTAGTGATTCTACTGCACCCTGTATTGTATATGGAAACTATTATAATGCATTACACTTGGTAGACCACGCAGGCAATCGGTTATAATCCAGCCATGCTCAATCCACTGCTGGACGAAGGCATCCCCAAAATCGCCACTGGGTTTGCGATATATTGCAGACCGCATAAGCAATAGTATCGACAAGATTGGATTCCCCCATTCGATCTATGAAATACAATCGGGGTCACGGTTGTATTTCATAGACCGTATGGAACAAAGCTGTTATATTTCATAGAGCATACTAACAGGGTACGAACGTGCGATTGTATTTCATATACGATTGGAACACGGCTGTTATATTTCATAGAGCCCACTAACAGGGTACGAACGTACGATTGTATTTCATAGACCGTATGGAACACGGCTGTTATATTTCATAAAGCTCACTAACATAGGGCGCGAAGGTGCGATTGTATTTCATAGAACGGGCACGCATGCTCGCAAAAGGCGGGTGGAGGGGGGGACCGAAAGCGAAACCTTAGCAGCATCATCGTCAGCATCATCAGCAGATCCTTCTGAACGGCAAGGAAGAGGAAGTGGCGGCGGCGTTGATGATGATGTGAGCGCATGTCCACTGTCTCGTTCCCGTGTTAGACTCGCGTGTGTTCTGTTCTAACGCGGTAAAAACAAATAGTTTATACAATGCGACGATTGTGTTCTCGCGTTCTGTAATGTTGCGGTCTTTCGGTCATTCTTGGCTCCTCTGTCGTGAAATAATCGAGGGCAAAAGCCGCGCCTCGCCTCGGAAGGTAAGAACCACGGCCTTTGTCCAGCAGTGGATCGAGCAAGGCTGCTGCTGCTGCTGCGAATGATTACTCAACTACATTTCGATTTAAAGCTTTCGTGACTGCAGGGATTCATCTTCTTGGTTCTTTCGGTAAAGTCACGTAGAAGGGGAAAAAAATAAAATAATAAAAATAAAACATAATAAAATAAAACATAATAAAATAATAAAATAAAATACAACATAGTTAAATAAAAATAAAACCTAATAAAATGAAAACAAAACAGTAAAATAAAAATAGAATAAAATAAAATTCTCACGACGTTTCGGCCACAACGCAAGCAGCCGTCCCCAGGTGAAGAAGAGGGCTGTCAGAAAGACAGCGTCTGAATGAACACCACCAAGCTTGGCAGCGTATATTTAAGCTGGGGTAGGGGAGGAGAGAGCCTTGACAAAGGAGTTTACATATCAACAGAGGAAGTTAGCATATTTATGGAAAATGCAGATATGGGATTAGTCACTCATCGTGGAATGTGTAGGTGGTGGGGGGGGTCTCAAAGTCATATTATGCTCGTGTATTATGTAGGATTAGCAGTAATATTGTATTATTTCCCTTCTACGTGACTTTATATTCAACTACAGTTATACTATATTGTGTTATGACAGTCCGTAAGTTGTGTGTGTGTATGTGTAGCTTGTGATGTTTTTGGCCTTGTTATGATCAGCTGAGATGATCTATCCACTACTGCATGGTGTAATTTTAACGCTCTAACACACCGGTGTGATGATGTTCTAGTGACGAATTGTAATGTTTTGTGTACGTGACAAACCTTAATTATTGGCTAATTTGTCGCGGGTTTAATGACACATTTACATGATCTCACCCAAAACATCTCTATTACACTATAACAGTAGTGTAACAGTACTTAAAACTGGAATGTTTCTACATTGAGTACAATATACACACAATGTATAGTGAAATAACAACTGAAATGTTTCTACATTGAGTACAATATACACACAATGTATAGTGAAATAACAACTGGAATGTTTCTACGTTGAGTACAATATATACACAATCTATAGTGAAATAACAACTGGAAGTCACGTAGGTAAAAATAAAAATAAATAGAAATAATAATAGAAATAAAATAATAAATCACGACGTTTCGTAGGCAACACAAGCTTCCTTCATCAGGTGTAAAAAGGCACAGCAAAATAACTACAGTATTTGCCTTTTTACACCTGATGACTCATGCAGCCAGCTATGGCTGCAGAGTTTGGTAGTACATGTTGTTTACGTCATTTATTGTGAAAATTCGGTCACAGTTCCTATGACCAGTTTCATTGCTTTTATGGCTTTATTTTGGTGATTTTCGAAAAGTTTTTTGGTTTGGCCATGTTTGTTTGTTGTAGTACAGAGTTAGACTAATGGCCTTAATCTAAGTTGTCTTGTGGTTATTGTTGTTGTTGTTTGACTTGCATCCCACTGGGATTTTTGCACACAGTCTTGGTGTACGGTGCTTTTTCTGCAATATTTTGCTGTCTTTTCTTGGATTTTCTGTTTGCACATAGTCACTATAAGATGTGTTCTTGTTCATGTTTTTTGTTTGTTGCGGTTGCACCCGATTCCAGAGCCGAATGGCTCACAGGGCTATACCTAATAAATGAACTTGAGCAATCCACTGCTGGATGAAGACATCTCTGAGTCACCACCACCGTCTCTCACGATTTCACAACGTGCGAATCTCGCCCTGCAAAAAAAAATTCTAAATGTGTATGATACGTGTCACCGAACGACGGGAAACGTTACTGCTTATATTTTGTATTTGAACAACTTTCTTTTACCTATAGGCTTGAATACACTTGGAGCAAGTGCTGTTAGCGGGTGTGCCTAGTAAAGCCAGAAAAACACAGGACGGACAGCAATCCGCTGCTCTCGCCCGGACTCTACACAAGGTACTCATTTGTAGCCATATTTTTCTTTTTCACGAGTTCCTCTTTTTTTTACCCCATTCTCAAGACATTTTGACCACAATTCGTCTGCAAACTGTACGCGGCATGTCGCCCCATCCAGCATTGGGTGGTGGTACAGCGTAACAACAACAAGGCTCTAACATCCACCAAGGCCTCAACCGGGTCTCAAGGCTTTTTTGACAAAGGGCTCCCGCATCGGGATGTTTGGCCAATGCCATTAACGAGTGTGTGGCGTGTTGGTCGTAAGTCAAAGTACTTGGAGAAAACCCACGGATGCAAATGGGTACTCGGATTGTAAATGTTGTGGTTTGGCTCTCCAACACACCGGTGTGATGTACTAGTGACAAATTGGCATGTTCTGATTACGTGACAGCCCTTACTAGTTGGCTGTGTCGGGTGGTGGCGGGTTTTAACGACCTGTTATGGATTCCAAATCTCTGCACGAATGCATTCGATCCACTTGCTTTGTTGGCATCTCCGGGCCACCCTCGCGCGTTGGCGGAGGTTTTTTTGGGGGGATTCAGAAGTGCGAGGTGATGAATCAACTCGTACCTCCTAAAAAGTGCGGGATGGCAGGCATTGCGTTGCCAATTTGTGACGTGGCCATGAAAGTGAGCAGTCATGTCTCATTTAAATGACTCGTTTTTGAATAACAACAAATCTATTTCATCATTTGACCACCTTTGCCAGAACCAAAATATAAGAATAGGGTTTTTTCCCTGTTTTCTGGCAACAAATCAATTATTAATGTATTCTGTTGGCAGTGGCGTACAGGTACAAATGATTAAAAAAACCTCGCCATGTTCATCATTAATGCTGACTTCTAACAAACATGGACTGACCTAACATGTGTGATAAGGCTGGGATATTAATATTTCCATAGAAGTGTGGTGGTGAGGCAGAATCAGAATCTTTATTTATCCTGGAGAAATCTGATGAGCTATGAAGCTCTTTCATGTATGACCTGTAAGGACAGGTTCGGAACGTGACAACGCATCTGTCCTGAACCCTAACCTCTGAACTACTCTTCCTAACCCTAAAGCAATATAAAATAACAAGTTAATGACGAAAAATATTTTTTAAAACACGCTTTAATGAAATGTACCGTACGAGTAATGGCAGAACTCCACGGCTCCAGGAAGTGGCCCCGAGGTTTGCCATAAGTAAGGGCCCGTGGTGATTTACAGCCAACGTGAGTTGAGCGTGGAGAATTAGACCCAAGCCTAAACATAACATATAAAAAATATTGTTTAAATTTTTTTATTTTTTTTGATAGAATATAGTTTTGTCACCATTATGACATACATATACCAAGTTTGCAGTCGATGCGACATTGGGAAGTGGGTTAAAATTGAGTTACAAGATTTGAGGATCCGACAACAGACAGTGAGTTTATCAAAAGCGTGTAAAAATTACATCGTTTTTTTAAATCCTTTATATTAAGTTCGCGTGCTTGCGTGCTTGCTTGCTTGCTTAGGACCGTGCAAATCTTTCGGTCGTTTTTTAACCCACTTCCCGTGATCCAATCGAGCTGACATTTTCCACACAGACTCGTTGTGCCAGACAATTATTGTTCGTGAAAAAAAATTCCCAAAATTTTACACTTTTTAGGCAAAAAAAATTATTTAACATATATTCAAATAGAACGCATTCATGGCTTTGGCTGAACGTCAGAGTGTAAGAGTCCAGAGCGTAACCCCTCCACAGGCCGTGGTGGAGTAGCGCAGTTGGTAGCGCCCTCGCTTCCCATGCCAAAGGTCGCGGGATCGATCCCCACGTCCTCCACTGGCGAATATATTTTTAAATCCTTTATATTAAGTTCGCTTGCTTGCTTAGGACCGTGCAAATCTTTCGCTCGTTTTTTAACCCACTTCCCGTGATCCAATCGAGCTGACATTTTCCACACAGACTCGTGTGTGACAATTAATTTTCGTGAATTTTTTTTCTCCAAAATTTTACACTGTTTAGGGAAAACAAATTAAATATTTAATTACCAATTGCTTAATACTGGCAGACAATAATCTGACCCATAGATTGCAGCCATCTCAAGCCAGAGGACGAGAGAACTCTAGCCGCCACGCATATAAAGGATTTAGAGTGAAAAACTTTGTTTTTACGGGTTTACTTGTTACTATCACTAAAAGTAAAGGAGGCTTCAGATGACTGACCATCTATGTGAAATGCAGATTTTTACAGACATGGAGACATACAGGAAATGGTGGATGGGATTTGGTGGTCAGTAATGGCAGGTTGGCTGATGAATGTTAATCCTTTTGGATTGCAGTTCACCAGATTGTGAATAGCTGAATGTGGATACGCCTTTGCAAAGATGTAATACGCAGAGTACGTGGGTGTATTGACCCTGCATCAGTGGTAGTGAATGGGTCTTTATGCGAAGCCAACCGTTTCAATATAACACATACCTTGTCTCTTTCGTACACAGCCGCCACACAAAACACCAGACTCGTGACCGACATGGACGAGCGTCAGCAAGGAAGAGGAAGAGGCGGTGAAGTCATCGTGAGGAGCTGTTTATCTCAGGACTTGTCGGACCCATACCACGCCACCTACCTGTCCTTCTACCTCCTGGGACTGGGCTCCCTGCTGCCTTGGTACTTCTTCAGTACCGCCAAGGGCTACTGGGATTACAAGTTCAGTGCTGGCAACAGCTCCACGGAACAATCGTCCAATTCAGATCTGCTCGTGAGTTTGGGGTTTTTGGCACACGCGATGCCCAGTCGGGGTTTTGCCCGACGCATCTCTTTAATTATTTAAGCGGCTTGGTTGGTGCCAAGCGCGTACGCGCAAAAAAGAAACTAAACTCCTTCGTCATGCAGTGTTTTAAACTCCTTTAAGCTTATAATTTGACAATTGCTCGCGTTGCATAGTGCATTAACTGTTGGTGTCATGTTTAGACATGCACCGTTTCAATAGAAGAATATATATACAGTCGGATACCGGCTGATGCAAAGGCTCTAATTCATCGCAAAAGCAGGGCAGAAAGATTAGATAACATTTGAGTTTGGGCCAATTATTGCATCAGAATCTTACCCAAATAGGCCTTTTTCATTAATGCACCCCAGTAATTCTGTGTCCCCATTGCAAATTAATCCCTCGGAAGACTCTCAAACATACAGGCAATGAGGTGGTCATGAGAACAAAATGGCCAGTACAGCACCATAGGTTCATGGTCCCATCTATGCAGATTTCTGAATGTAATCCTTTTGAGTGTGTTGGGATTCCTCTTGGTACTCCAGTTTCCTCCCACAAGCATTAACACTCATTAAACATAATTGACTAGACATTCTAATGCAGATGTACGTCATTTTCAATTTAACACGTAGGCTTTCGCGACCAATATTATTCATAATATAGTTTTTTGGGTCAGATCGCGTTATTTATAAATGTGTCGTAACCCTCCACCACCCGACACGGCCAAACAGTAAAAATGTGTCACGTTTTTCAAAGGACAAAATAATTCACTTCTTTAGCCCATCGGTGTGCTGAAGAGAGAATCACCAGCATTTTAAAATTTGAGTAGTTCGACGTTTCGCTGATAATTACAATCGGCTTCATCGGGCAAGAATGGTGAAGCTCTCCTGTTGCTTCCAGTCTTAAATAGAGCAGCATCAGGGTGAAAAACGTGACATTTTTTTACTGTTTGGCCGTGTCGGGTGGTGGAGGGTTACGACACATTTATAAATAACGCGATCTGACCCAAAAACATATTATGAGTACGTCCTTTTGTCGATCAACTTCTGTATGTAGGCCTCGCAATGCCATATCAGTCCTTTAAAGTTCGTTTGCCCACACTTCACCATGTTGGTCAGTGCGGGTTCGTGAATGGGGAGGACCAGGTCTGAATCCTGTATCACTTGCCACTGATGTTAACCATGGCCGGAATTCGGATTCAAGTTTCCAGGTTCATAGTCCAGTACTGTGTGCGAACCACTGCACGCCTACAGCTCCCATAAGTAGAGGGACTCGTCTACTTACAAACGAGTTCGGTTCTGCAGGTCTGTTCGCAAGTCCAACTTTACTCCTGTCGATTCCAAACATGTTGTACGGCATGTACACTAAACACGGGGAATGGCTTTAAAAGTTGTATAATCTCCTGTAGATGTAGAATACCACTGGTTATTCATGCTCTGCGGATGTAGATGCCACCACCGTCATCTATTGCGTGGCAGTTGAGCTTACGATTCTCGGTCCGAACAGGCAACTGGACATACGGACAGGTTTGTTCGTATCTCTGAAAGTTTGTAAGTTGAATGTTCGTAAGTAGGAAGAGTCCCTGTAATGGTTGTGCATGGTTGACACAAAGCCGTTGCATACAACGTGATGCATTGCCAACGTTGTTCCCTGCACATGTGATTTGATTAAATGTGTCATGAGCTGAAGAACTGATATGAATCGATGCATCGTTCCACCCTACTGCACATTGAGGATATATTTCTACTTTATTGCACATTAAACGATTGTTGTGCCATTCTTTATTTGACGTTGTAATTAAACAGTATATTTGGTCCTTTTTTTGGTAAACAGAATTTCGACATGGGATAATGAACCTGAAAAATTACAACGTAACTTAAGCATCATTGGGGCTCTTGTAGACGTAAAACTTCCTTACACAGCAGGTTACTATGATACTTTGGATCCAATTTCATCGCTGTGTCTAATGCTTTTTTATTACTCCGTTACTGTAGTAGAATTGCCCATTTATGCAGAAAGGCTGTGTCAATTACCACTCGCGTAACATTACGTGTAAACTCTCCTTAGGTTGTGTAGACCGTGATGTAAATGCTTTTTGCTGCACTGTTCATTATTCTTGGTGCCGTTTCACCTAGAAGCTGTATATGTGGAACAAGGTGTAATAGTGAGCACACTTCAGAATCAGAATGAAAATCTTTCTTCGTACAGGAGGATTCCGATGAGCTGTAAAGCTATTTTTGTTCACAGATGTCCAGTCGGGGCGGGTTAGAAAGTTATAACGACAAAACAATACAAAAACATGCTAGGAGTGCAAAGTATAGGAAAGGTAAGCAAGTCGCTAAAGAAAACCTTTTATTTTACCGGGTAAAGTCCACTTAGCTATTAGCTGCATTTTCAGTTGTCGACATTTTAATCTCCCAGCAAGGAAGTTGAAACAGCGGTGCAAGTTTCTTAAATCCCCCACCTTTGTCCACCCAGCGGTATAAACGGGTGTTACGCAGTCGATTGGCATGCCGTGTGTGGGTGCTCTCACATCTTACAAGATGTATGGCATGGAAGAGTAGGCCAAACACCCTCTAGAGGTGCTGTCCAAAGCTCTCTCTCGTGGGGACCCCCCCCCCCCCCCCAGCACTGCCGCGAGCAAGAAATTTCATGGCTGCACCTTTACCTGCAGTGGAGCATTTTGGGAAATAAATTAAATCTCCATGTAAACACGACGTATATTTTGTAATTGCCGTATTTTCCCGCATATAGCCCGCATACGCATATAACCCACAGACGCATATACCCCGCAAAAATTGCGTTTTGTGTAAAACAAAATTCAGATAGCCCGTACCTCCATATACCCCGCATGCATTCATATATTTAACGTCGTTACTGCAGCTTAATTCCATCATATTAATACGAAGTTTACATTTGCAATACATTCCACTATCAATTGTTAACATTAAAATCATAACGTGCACAAAGAAAACAAACTAACCGAAAACGAGTGAACTTCAAACCGTAAATAAGTAATAAAAGTAAATATCCAATACATAGGTAACACATAACTGGTAGATAAGTAAGTCCAGTTTTAGTACTGGTAGATTGCGCACTGCACAGATAATAGCAGCACTACCGTAACGCCGTTGCATCGCCCCCCCCCCCACCTCTCTCTCCCCCCAGCTCTCCCGTCGCCGGTAAACAGTGCGCGCACTTCAAACATTGTCGTTTAATTGTACAAACAATTCATTTAAAACTTGATAACATGTGCAATTTTAGTGTGAGTGGTTTATTCAGCAGTGCTTTAGTCAAAGGTAAGTGTTGCATAGTGGATAGTCCTACCATGAAACAATTAAACGAGTTATGACATTTTTCGATTTAAAGCTTTCGTGACTGCAGGGATTCATCTTCTTGGTTCTTTCAGTAAAGTCACGTAGAATTGAAATAATAAAATAATTAAAATAAAACATTATAAAATAATTCTCACGACGTTGCGGCCACAACGCAAGCAGCCGTCCTCAGGTGGAGAACAGGTCTGTCAGACTCTGTCTCCTCGACAGACCTGTTCTCCACCTGAGGACGGCTACTTGCGTTGTGGCCGAAACGTCGTGAGAATTATTTTATTATGTTTTATTTTATTATTTTATTATTTCAATTCTACGTGACTTTACCTAAAGAACCAAGAAGAGGCGTTATGACATGTCACACGTGTAAAATATTGTTGGGATAGCCCGCACCTCCATATACCCCGCAGGGTCTTGTTTTCGTAAAAAGTGGTATACCCCGCGGGTTATATGCGGGAAAATACGGTAATCAGTGGAGTAGCCTTCCAAACGTACTGCATGTTGGCCAGCAGCAGTTGTTTAAGCATGCAAAATCTAAATCAGTTTCGACCTCCTGGGTCTCAAGCCATTTATTTGAAAAAATATGATTTGTAATAGCCCTCTCAATAAACCATTAGCACAAAAAGCACAATTCAGTGTGTCCTTAAAACTGGCCTCATTGAGAGGTGGGGTTCCCCAATATATGATATTTGTTTTCTCAACAAATATATGAAAGGTAAAAACGGAGACTCCCTGGCACTTCGTGTTTTACACAGTGTGGAGATGCAGCTCGCAACAGGTACACATGTTTGTACGCGGTTTGTTTTTAGAGCTTCTAGTACTATTTTAATTTTTGTTAAATTACTGCCCCCCAAAACCACATTTTACGTGGGACATCAAATATATGTGCGCACCATTACATTTGTGTGGTTATACAAATAGTGCTTGTTAAAGTAAATCTGTATGGTCATGATTTTAAACCGTACCTTATTTTTTTACACACAGATATGGGGCAAAAAGGTGATTTATTTTGTTTACATCCAGGGTTTCCCAAAACCCCAACCCACCAATCATCTCCATTCTGTTCACAGTAATGAACGGAGTGGTTCTCATTTGAGAATAATGCTCGGGTTACATTGAATGTTAGCATTTGTCACGTCTAAACAAAAGAAAAATAATCATACTATTGTCATGGCGTAGGACAAATATTATTCCTTGCTTCTTGCGAAGGGGATAATTAATCTCAATGGGCTCTCACATTGTTGAAAAGAGGAATATTAATTACGGAGAAACGTTCTTTGTTCACCCATTTAAAACGATCAATGTAAATGTTGATCTTTCACACCGTGTATTTTGTTGCGTATATTTTGTTTGTCTTTCAGGTCTATTTTGAGAGCTACCTGTCCATAGCGTCCACAGTTCCCAACGTCTTTGTCTCGGTGCTCAATGTTCTTCTAATTAACAAGTAAGGGTCTTCCTACTACATATCTGCACAAAGTTATTTGTCGGGGCCATCGTCGCATGATCATCCCTTTTTAATCACCCCAGGTGGCCAGGTTCAGTTCAGTTTAATTTGAACTTGCTTTACTACCCAGCTTCGCCCGGGACTTGGATTCTTGTCTTGGATTAACACACAGCCTACGCGGAGGGTTTGGGGGGGGGGATGCGTGACGTCAGCAGGCACACTGCGTGACGCTGCCGTATATGGGTGATATCACAGAGTTGACGTCACCACTCACTCGCCGTGCAAAATATGACCATTATTGCGCTCCCCACCCCCCCAAAATCCAAAAGTGTATTTTTATACTTGTTGTGTATGTCGGAGAAGCGGTGCTGTTTTATTGTTGATGAAACTCGATTTAAGAGCTTATTGGCTCAGAGTAATCTAAATATATAAAGGGAAATTTGTGAATATGTGTGTCTGTTCGAAATGTTTAGCATACTTGCCGACATGCAAAGTATGAAAATACACTTTTTGCATTGTGTACAGTCTGGAAGCTACCCACATGCCAAATTTCAAGTTTGTTGCATGTCGGAAAGTATGCTAAACATTTCGAACAGACACACATATTCACAAATTTCCCTTTATATATTTAGATTACTCTGAGCCAATAAGCTCTTAAATCGAGTTTCATCAACAATTAAACAGCACCGCTTCTCCGACATACACAACAAGTCAAGTAAAATAAATCAATAAACAATAACAGATAAGCGAAATAAAAAATAGATATCAAATCATAATCACAAAATAAAAATCATCTTTTGTTTTTGAAAATACAAATTTAGTTAAATATATATTAACAAATAACACGCTTGATCTGAAAAAAATATCAACTTAAATCTTCCATATTAATTACAATGCTGATCGGCCTACAACACGATGGCATTACTAGTGAGGAATAAAAAAAAACACAGCATCTAAAAAAAAACTTATTGTAAACAATGTGCAAAAGTTGTCACTTGCAGGCAATTAATATTTGCCTTCGGATCGGAGCCCTGAGCAGACTTTTAGTTTGCATCCAAGCAGCCGTGTGTGAGTAAACTGGGTTCTCAAATTTAGTGAGTTTATGGTTGCAGCTCATAAACCCTAATGCCTTCACAAAAAAAACACATCGTAATTTGTATGTATGTATGTTGAACTTATTTCCCAATGTACGTAGCCGATGCTAATCGGTTGTAAAGGTAAAAATTGCAACTTAAACGATATATATGGAATAAGTCCCGTGAAAAAAATCTCTTCGGCCACAGTAAGTTTATTGGCAGGCCGGAGATGATATTTCTGCACAAACATATGTGCCTACAATTCTCTAGCAATATTCTTGCAGTAACATTGAACGGCTGCCCTTCAAGTGAAACGTCCCACGAGCATTTTACCTGTGTCATCTCATGGGCCCAACCTTCACGGCGATCCTGGATTTTTATTGTCACCGGCAAAAATGTTTGCGCTCATTTTTTTTTTGTAATGGAAAAGCATTAGAATGTCACCCGGGAAGTCACATTTGCAAGTTCAGTCACGTTTTATAAATTTTATTGGTAGCTATTAGTAGCCGGACGTATAGTGACGAGCCATTACACTGTGTTCCCATCGTCAATTTTAGCTCCCTTGCGCTTTTCGCTAATGACAGGGAAACACAGACGCAGCGGCTTCAAATTCTGCAATCGCAACTCCTTTTGGCAGTACAGCGTGAAGTGTAACCACACGAATGGTCGTACGTGGAGGCGTCACCAAAATAAAGTTGTCTGTGGAGCGTTGTCGCAAGATTTGCCGTTTATGCGCGGATAATGGTTCAATCAGGTGCTGCCTGACTGATATGTTCATTACACAGACGTCAAGAAAGGTTGACTGATAGCAGACTCCGGCTAGTTTACCTGATCTGACGCTGTCATAAATATTCCTTTGCGTAGCTCGTTATTAAATGTAATTTCGTCCAATGGTACGCATCACCATGCTGCAATATCCTTTAGCATGGGATGCATAACAATGTCTGTGACCCCCCCCCCCCCTCCGTTGTGCAATGAGATTGGTTATTTTCCTGCATAAAAGTGCTACGATTGCAAATTCTGGATTTACTGACGGGATGCCAAGCCATGTGATGTTGTGCCAAGTGGGCTGTTTCCATTTGGTTGACTCGTGCTGTTTTGTGATTTGAAGGCTGTCAGCAAATGTCCGCGTGCTGTCTTCCCTGGCAACCATGCTGCTCATATTTGCCGTAACGGCCGCCTTGGTCAAGGTACAATCTTTCTCAGGCTCCTTCTAAGCACATCCTCTTTTTGAGACAAAGTTCGTTCCTGTTAATTAGGCTTGTGTTCCAATAGGCAATTAACGGTCGCCCCCCCCCCCCCCTTGAAAAAAGGATTAGTCTAAATAGGCTTTCCTCTGGTGATATATAAAGGATTTAACAAATAGATTTATTCATTGTTTGATTTACCCACTCCCAAGCGGCATGATGAATTGTCAGAAATCAATAAAAAAATATAATTTGTCTTTTTTGCACTCTTTAGTTTGCATTTCATCTCGCTCTCAGTCTCATTTGTAAAGTTTTGTTGGCGCCATTAGACAATATGTAATGCTCTGATACCATTTGCATGTCATTTGCATTAGTCATAAATAATTGCTTCTTCATGCACTATTTGATGCATCTATCATGAGCTTAAGAATTAATTTTAATCAATGAATGGATTCTATATACAAATGTATTTTAACACTTCAGAAAAAAAACCTACGTATAACATGAAGTGTCAGTATTCGTATGCAATCTATCTCACCTCATGTGAAACTTGTCATCAAATATTGCCAATGGAAGTCATATATTGACAGGTGGAATAAAATATTAATGTATTTCGCCTTAGGAGTTCATACACTGCCTGTCTGTAGACACAACATATTGTTGAACGATATTATCTTGGCCCTGATGTCAAGCACGGTCAATCATCAGATTGGTGACTTCTAAAGAAAGACAAAAATAAAAATCTGGTTTCGGCAGGAAGTCATATCTAAATTTTCCTTTCTGGGTGAAAACTCAAATCGGAAATGAGCAAAATCAAAGTTCTGCTTGTACTTTGGATATTAAAGAACTTTGTCCTGATTCTCATTTTCGTAAAAAAAAAAATGTACCGCCTAAAAATGTTTATCATCAGTTGTGGTTTATCCACCGTTGCCATCCTTCATTGTCTGGAGGCGCCACAATCGGTCTCACTCCTGCACATTCATGCGATCTCTTTATTCCATCTCCACGGTGGTCATACTCTCTAAGTACATTCTCTCGTTTCCCTGAGCTTCATAGAATCGTCACGCCCCCCCCCATCCCCAAATAATATAAATTCATAAAATCGCTCGTGGTGGTGCGTTGATCCATCCCTAATCTTATATTAAGTTCACCTTCAATTTAACATGTACTAGGCTTTTGTAAATGTAAATGTGTTGTTAAACACGCCACCACCTGACAGATCCAATGAGTAAGGTTTGTCACGTAAACAAAACGTGATAATTAGTCACTAAATTTCGATTTAAAGCTTTCGTGACTGCAGGGATTCATCTTCTTGGTTCTTTCGGTAAAGTCACGTAGAAAAGAAATAATAAAATAATAAAATAATATTATGTTTTATTTTAATGTTTTATTTTAATTATTTTAATAAAACATAATATTATTTTATTATTTTATTATTTCCCTTCTACGTGACTTTACCGAAAGAACCAAGAAGATGAATTAGTCACTACTTCAGCACACCAGTGTGTTGGAGAGTAAACCCACGACATTTACTATTTATTTACGTGACAAAACTTAAGAATTGGCTGCGTCGGATGATGGCGGGTTAACGACGCATTTTTATTCATGCGATCTAACCCCAAAAATACCTCGATCATGATTAAGTTTCACCTCGTTCTCAGGTGGACACTTCAGCATGGCTCTCTGGGTTCTTTGGAGTGACCATGACGTGTGTGGTGGTGGTGAACTCTGCAACGGCCGTGTTTCTGGGCAGCCTCTATGGCTTGGCTGCCCTCTTCCCACCAAAATACCCGCAGGCGTTCATCACAGGTGCGTGCGCGTGGCACGGTGGCGAGATGTTAAATACCTCGCCTGGTATACAGGAGGTCGTGGGTTCTATCTCGACCCTGACTCCTGTATATTTGGAGTTTGCGTGTCTCTCTCCCCGTGGTCACCATGGATTTTTCTCCGGGTCCTCTGGTTTTCTTTTCCACATTTTTGAATCAACGTCTCACACGTTTAGAGTATTTGGCTGCTATAAATATCCACGTGATAAGCCACTTCGTTGGGCTATCATTTGTGGCCAGGTTGCTTCTAAAAAGAAATATATTGCTCAATGGGCCTTACCTGGTAAAAAAAAAATTTGTACAGTGGGAAATAGATATTAGGCACGTAAGGATGCATTGACACATTGATCGAAATCCTTGTTTTTTCTTCTCCCCAAATCTTATACCGTTGGTGCTGTTGGTGTCATGTTACCAGACAAAGAATCCGTTCAGATTGCTCCCAGAACAGTGCAACCCTACACATGAGAAAAACCTTAACATGATGCTGTGGCTCTAGAAGGGACGATGGCCGGTGGTAAATGGTATAACGATGGCGTGACAGCCAAAGGAGGAAATTCCTCACTACGTCAACCGAGGAGATGGAGCAATAAAGTCAACCCTTATGCGGGCACTGGGTGGATTGTTTCATCGTACGATTGTGAGGGTTGGCGATGACTTGGGAAGACCTTCATACAGCAGTGGATTTATAATGGCTGATGATTATGATAGAGGTCCATTTACTGTGCGTAGTGTATTGTACCTGTATTTGCATTCAAGCAATGAAGCTAATTTTAACACCACTAAGCATTAGTGCTAATGAGAATGAATTCCAAATATATATGTAAATTTACACGTAATTAGCTCATCAATACAGCACTTTCAGCCCAGAGCACAGCTGGACATTTCTCTCCCCAAGACTTATTTATCTATTTCAGCCGAATAGTCTCATAGTGAGCACGACCGGCCATTGTACGAACCAGTTTGGTGAGAGATAAGTAGTTTACATTTACACGGCCTCGCATCAATGTCGATAAGGAATTTGCGAAAGTGCGGTCAGTGAATGCTGTCACACAGCCAGTGACGTAGCTGTCCACTGGCGAACCAACCTCGACTTGGACGTATCAACTCTGCTGAGCAACTCCCCACCTTATGGAATAAATACAAAGATAACATACTCTTTGGTTCTTTCGGTAAAGTCATGTAGCTGAAAAAAAAAAAACGTTTTTTTTTGCTGTGATTGTTCCCACCTGATGACAGACGCTTGTGTTGCGTCCGAAACGTCGTGATTTAATTTACCTTTTTTTTCACCTACGTGACTTTAGCGAAAGAACCAAAGAGTATGGATCCTTGCAGTCACGAAAACTTTTAATCTAGAAAGGTAACATAGACAGTAAAGACCCAGAGAGATAATTTACATAAGTAGGGCCATTGTGCGCTAACCCAATTTAAATATTGAGCCATGATCCGATTGCTGTTTGGAAGCCTCCCTACCACTATTCCTCATGGTCCTGCGATATTACGAGCCATCTCGCTCCTGCACATGAGTTACGCTCCATCTCCGTGGTGGTCGTGCTTTTGAGCGGTTTTCCTCCTTCGGCTGTCGTTCCACCAAACCCATCTTTCGTCCATTGTTAGTCAGCCCTCGGAACCATGTTAGTTTATGCCGACCAAACGTATGTTTGTTAGCAGTCAATTTAAACATTACATGCAAATAATTTAAACATTAATCGTAATATAATGATTCATCACTTAACAGTGATACTTACGCTTCACAATAATCAAATCTGTAAGCGACGAGAAAACCTGTTGTAACAAATACGATAAGAATCAATCACGATTCATGCAAATTATTGCGAGTGAGAAGCTACAAATGGGATAGAATATACGAGAAACAATACAAAGGAGATGGTAAAAAGAAAAGAGGCAAAAATTATTGAATTGTGACTAATGGAGACGGGGTGTGAATTATTGAATGCATTAGAACAATTAATCCCATACCCCGACCCCCCGCTGCCCCCGCCACCCCCCCACCGCCCAGCCATTCGATGTCCAGGATCATGATTCGATTCGATTCAATTCAATAATCGAATTATTTTTTGACATTTTTGTTTGACGGTAGCATCGGTAATAATGCATGTTTAGTGAGCTTAAGATAATTCTTCCACCCTTACCGTACATAACAGTAACTTCCCAATTTCGCTTGCTAAAGAAGATTGGCTGACGATGCTTCCTCGTGGTGTTAAATATAGAGCAATGGTTTGAACTGAAACCGTCCCTCCTACCCAGCCATAAATTACAAGGATGACCGGAGGCTGAGGGCAATGTTGCCTTCGCCAAGTCTGTTTGCAAATCTACCTTGGCAAGGTCGTTATGACATCCATGGGAGTGAGACCCCACGGTGAGAGTGTACACACATATCCATGCCTCATACTCTTTGGTTCCTTCGGTAAAGTCACGTAGGTAGAAAAATAAAAAAAATAAAAAAATATATCACGACGTTATGATCACAACACAAGCGGTCGTCCTCAGGCGGAAAAAATAATCCAGCAGTGGAACTGCTGAACCAGCGAGAGAGCTGTTACAACAAGGTTATATATATGTGGCGATGACCAAGCAAGCGGGGTCTGAGCTACGTGACTTTAGCGAAAGAACCAAAGAGTATGGATTCCTGCAGTCACGAAAGCTTCAAATCAAGATATCCATGCCTCCTACCCCAGGGAAGTCCAGCACGGATGAAGTGGCACAGCTTTATTTTCCACCTGGAAGCTAGTTCAATCGATCCGGCCTGCTGCTTTCAAACCATGGGCACGTCGTGTGTGTTTTACTCACCCCTTCCTGTTTAAGTGTTTTTCTCGGAGTTCCATGTAATGAATCGTCCACATGCTGATGAACACTGGGTTATTTTTTTTCGAAAATCGAATCTCTTTCTTGCGCGTGTTTTGGCAGCTGTGCCGTGTAACTCTCCTATGTTGTTTTCGGGTTGCAACGCGTCTTGTTCGCTATGATTTCCTGACATTTTATGCCAGATGCTGTGGGAGCTTCTACAGGAACTTTTTATTTGTCCCATACAACCTTACTTTAATATTTATTATGTTTCAGATGTAATGCTGAGACTGGTACGGTCTGTATCGCCAACTTTTAGCAGTGAGAAGGAATGGTCTTTTTTTTTCTCCCCGCCATATGTGGTTAGCCTGGTTTGCTCCCACACGGTGGTACTCATTAAAACATGTATCGGCTAGACACCCCAATGCAAGACCCTCCACAGAAAAAGCCTTGAGACTCGGGTGTTTCCACACAAATTTTGTCCGGCTACTACTGGCTGTACCCCCCCCCCCACCACACTGCAGGTCATGGGGGTTATATGTCCCAACTTTACCGTGCTAATAAGTGGGGCCTGGTAAAATCTGGAACCACAGGATGTGAGAGAATACTGTCGAACAACAATTGAATTTGCCACAATGCCGTCTGCTGCCCACGATGTTGCCTTGCAGCAGCCGATGGCAACCTGCATTGTGATGCATGCTGGTCGCACGGACTGTACAGATTCGACCTTGCTTCCACAGTTTTACAAGATTAGGCGAGTTGAAAGTGATTTAATGAAAAAAAACAGTTACTGCGTTATGAGAAGTCAGCTCATTAATGTTTTTGTGTAATTCCCCATACCAAGACAGCTTCTCAGTGGATATGAGCATTACCCCATGCATATTTGACTCGATAATGGCCCTATGGGAAAGCAAAGTACATTATTATTATTAAGAACATGATTACATAGCTGTATAAACTGACCCCTGCCATATAGGAATGTGGAATTTCTATAACTGGCTTAGACCCGCCAATGGAGATGAGCGTTGGCCACACTATTTTGAGACGCGGCGCAGGCTTCCATAGAAAAGTAAAGGACACTGCTATTATGTTATTATAATAATAACAACGCTGCCCTGCAAAACGGGCGAAATGCTGATGCAATTAACTCGCACCACAGGACAGGCAATGGGAGGCACGCTAAGCGTCCTGGCTTCCATAGTAGACATCGCGGCCGCGGGAGACGTGACGGACAGTGCCTTGGCCTACTTTCTCACGGCGGACATTTACGTGCTGGTGTGCATCGTCATCTACCTGCGACTGTGCAAGTTGCCCTTTGCCAGGTGCGTCCCTCCCGCACGCACACAACAGACACAAAGATCCCCCCCATATAGCCTTAATGGACTGTTGGGGCAAGTGCTGTTCGCAAACGCCTAATTAAAGCCGGCACGGCACACGAAGGGGGTGGGTAACCAGCACAATGCCCGGCCGCCTTTGTCTCCCCAGTGGTGATCTTCTTACAATGCAGCAGGTACTCATTTTAGGCCGAGTCGACCTAGGGGAGGCCCAAGACTAGTGCGGATAATCGTCACCAGTGTTGACCGTGAATGGGAATCGTGCTCGGGTCACTGGGTTGGTAGCATAGCGCACTAACCGCTAAGCTACCACTGCCCGCACACTTTTTACAATACCACCACCATCCACACACATGCGATTGTACTGGGATAATTGGCGGGATACACGTTCATAAACCAAGACGAATTGGCACTCAAATTTAAGGTATCGACACAAATTACGAGGATGTCAAACCGTCCGCCTCCTGTCTCTGCGCTGCGAAGTGGTCCATCACCCTGATTTCCACATGAGCTGCTTGCAAAATATTACGGCTTCAAGCGTGAAAATATTAAATCACTTTGAATGCGTACATTTTTTTAACTTGCAAATATGACCGTTGGCTGCCAGACGAACTTTTAAGCCACATGATATTGAACCCTTGGCGAGTCCTGCATTTTCGAACACCACGGCGGTGTGTGGATATCACGGGGCATGTCTTGAGTTGGATATCACCCAGCACAAAAAAAGTCACATACACAGTGAGCTTCACTCTATATTCTCTACACACCAAAGAAAGTTAAGGGACACTTTTTTTGCATTAGTATTGATTCTCTCGTGATCTCCCATGTTTTTGGAGGAATTTAATTTGCATTACGGAAACCCATGAGTATCTGTGCCTGGGCAAGATGCCTCTATCTACAAATTAAGTTTCTTGCTCTAGTTTTAACGTGCAAGTTATGGGCTACCCTTTCATCAGTTTGGTCGATTTTCTGTTACGCAAGTGCCCAATAGCAACAGCTTTGTAACTGAAGTTTTGTTCGTATTGGAATTACCATGGCCCTGTGTTGCAGACAAATAGATGGACATACGGACATACAGAAATAATGCATCAACGCTTTCAATCTTAATTGCAACACATTAAAAAAACACATTTGTTTCCTCAATTTTTTCGGCAACCTGTTCCCCACCCATGTCCCCAATTAGGTACCACATCGATTACAAGGCCCCTCCGTCAATTAATTACGACGCGCGGGACGCGGCGAGCGTGCAGTCCGACACGGACGAGCCCTACCCGGCAGACACGGATGTCCTGATGGCGCCCGCCGACACGCACGCCCCAAGACACCACCAGCAACAGCGATCCTTCCCGCCGGTACGGGCGATTCTGCGCGAGACGCGCTGGCTGTGCCTCTGCGTCTTCTTCTGCTTTTACGTCTCCATGATCCTTTTCCCGCCCGTGCTGGCCAACATCGTGCCGACGTCCGTCTCGCCCGAGAGCGTGTGGGCCAAGAAATATTTCGTGCCCGTCGCCATCTTCCTGGTGTACAACTTGGGGGACCTGGTGGGCAGGGTGACGGCCGGGTGGCTGCGATGGCCGGCGCCCGAAAGCTGGCTCATGCCGACTCTCGTCTTCCTCCGCACGGCGTTTCTGCCGCTCTTCGCCTTCTGCAACTACCAGCCCCGCCGACATACGTCCACCCTGCTGCTCGCCAACGACGCCGTCCCGGTGGTGCTCACCGCTCTGCTGGGGGTCACCAACGGGCACCTGGGCAGCACGGCGCTCACCTTCGCGCCAAGGGTGGTGCCGGCGGAAATGGCAGAGGCCACGGGGGCTGTCATGACGTTCTTCCTGTCCCTGGGCCTCGCCGCCGGGGCTCTGAGCTCCAACATTTTCATGAGGTTCATCTGAAGTGTAAGGCACGGACAGGTTCGGGGAGAGATGTCGGAGATGGGAGGGATGGGAGTAATCTGAGGGACGGGAGGGAGGGATGTGAGCTGTTTATGCGGCAATGGTGTAGTGTGTTTGTGTGCGTGGGTGGTTTTATGATGTTTTTAGATATAAACCCGAGTGCACTAGTTACGTTGAAAACGGCCTTTTCTTGTTTACTTCATCTAATATTTGAACCTGATTTTGCTTTTTCTTAAATTACAAAAGTGCCTTAACTGAACGCTAAAATTCAATTTTGAATTCGTAACTTGCACTCCGACCTCAATCTAAGAGGGCGAGAACACACCGTATGTCATTTTTAAATGTGAGCCGCATTTCAAATATTTGCTTGTAAAAAAATACAAAAGTTGCTACGAAACGTATAATTCCACTTTAAAAGTCATCAATGGTGAATATCACCACGCAAATGGTGTACTCTGCGTAATTAAGAACATGTAATTAATAACATCCCCTCTGTGATACTCATGGAGGGAGTGTTGGTGTCGTAGGTTAGCACGATGTCACTTAAGTTCTGTTCCTGGCCACGGCTAACGTCAGTGGCAAGTGATATCTGGGACCAGCCTTGGGCACCCCACTTTCACCAGCCTGCACTGACCAGTGTGATGAAGTATGGTTAAACACAAAAAGAAACCCCATGACTGAAACAGCATGGGGAAGTGGGCCTTCATCCAGCAATGCATGAACAAACAGCTCTAAATGAACTAATAGGGTTTTTCCCCTTTTTTCTGGCAACAGAACTGACACCTTTTGCAAGGAATCATGCTTACATTAACCACAATACTTGCAGTCAAATGCAAACAAAAAACAATACTCTTGTTTGCATTTGACTGCAAGTATTGTGGTTAATGTAAGCATGAATCCTTGCAAAAGGTGTCAGTTTTGTTGCCAGAAAAAAGGGGAAAAACCCTATTAGTATATTTTGGTACTGGCAAAGGAGGTCCCATGATGTAGCTCTAAATGACTTTTGTATGGATGTATGTGGAACTTCTTTCGCACAATACATAGCCAACAGCACTATCGAAGGTGTGGGGGAACGACATACATATTGTTTCCCTGTATAGCAACCTGCACTCCTTCAACAAGGGAGGGATAGCAAAACTATACCAACACTCTCCCGAAGCCTTCTTCTTGTGGCCAGCAGACCTCACTGGCTGGCATTCGGCGCCTGAACATATTGCCATGCGCAAGAACGCATCCGTTACGGTACGTTCCTATCAAATTAAGTCGCATGCATAACGAGTACGATGAATGCAAGCCATCGTTTCCGCAGAGCTGAAGCCAATGTGCGGCCCTGAGATTGAGGTCGGGAGTGTGTAAAAACAAAGGAGGCGTTTTTGTAACTTTTTTTTATCGAATCGAGAGTTTCATCCGAAGCTATATTGCCTGCAACTAGTGCGACGCTTTGAAAAGGGAAGGGGTGCGCTCGTGCGTCGCGAACGAGGGACCTCGTCACGATCCGTGGTCCAAAACGTTTGAGCACTCAATTTATGGGTTGAACAAAAAGGTCAGCGTTTCAGCCGAGAAGCTTATAACTGCCGGAGACATGCATAAGGCCCCGTGAGATAGCCGGGCTTTTACCTCTACGAGGAGGTCTGCACTTTAATGACCCTCGTTCCATGTTCTGTGTCCCAACTGAAAGCTCGCTGGCGTGCGTTTACCTTCTGCGGATGAGTTTGAGATTACATTTATTTTTTCTTTCCGAATATCTGATTTGCGTGCAGTAAAATCTCTCGCAGCCAGACTATTGGGGGAGAGGCTTTCTGGCTCTGTGGATGTATCCGTTGTAGTGCAATTATTTCGTGCATTCATACGCAATCATATGAATAACAGCTTCGTGTTATTAATCAACTAACATATTTAATTAATATGTTGTAAGGTTATACACATTTTAAATGTAAGATTTACTGTTTAATAACACTTTAAAATAATCGCAACGTGTACATGCGCTTGAGGCAGAGGTTCAAGGTTGATTCTCAAACCCAAGAAACAGATAGTGACTGTCTTGGGCTTGATATTTTTTAATTTTTTTGTTGTCAAATGTGAAATAAATATTACCACGAGGAGAGAGAGTGAGGAAAAGCCCTCGCAAAGCTCGCAGATAAGCACGGCGTTCATTAGCATTGGTTCCCCCAATTCCACACCACATATAAATGCATGCATTATGACGCTTGGGAATTGCATGGGTACTCTTTGGTTTTTTCGGTAAAGTAATTTATTTAATATTTTACCTACGTGACTTTACCGAAAAAAAACAAAGAGTGAATCGTGCAGTCACGAAAGCTTCAAATCTAGAATTGCATGGGTGTTATTTGTATGTGCTGTGATGGTCAGTGATATCATTTTTCACTTCCCAGTCTGAAAAACCACATAAAAAATGTCCTGCGCAAGATTAGCCTCGCGTTTTACTCTTTATCATATCGTGTGCAGGTAAATTAGCGCATGAACAGGTTGTAATTTTGTTGGTGACTTTTGCTGAGATCCATTTTATTTCTGTAGCCTTCTCCGAATTCTGGCTTATCCAAATCGGGCTTTGTGAGGATGTATTGTGTTCTCAGATGACAGGTTTTTTTATATTTAAATAACGATCACTGTATATGTGCAAATGTAACCATTTCAGTAAATTCTAAAATACGGTTCTACAACGTACCTATTTTTTTTTTTTGCAAATTCATATTTAACCCCCTTCCCCAATTAGTTCAGCTTCAAGAGCTTTTACCGTGCGTTAAAACTGCCACTTCATTTCAGTATTTAAAAGTGTGGAATTGTTAACCATCATTTTAACTTAAACATTTCCATAACGAAAGCAAAATAGAAGTCACAGGATCATCAAAGTGACGTAACATTACGGCATGTAAGTTATATAATACAAGTCGTGTCACTTGATGGTGTTATGCCCAATTCAAGATGAGTTTTTCAGATGTTTGTTTTTATCTAGGTCTGGTTTTCCAGAATAAAAAAAAAATCAGAACACATCCATAATACCTTGCCTATAAGGGACTCATAGACTTGAAAAAGTAGGTACTTAAAAACAATGCCGTTGAAATAACTAGGCATGTAATGATTATTATTCATAACTTAAAAATAGATTCTTAAAGCACACGATGTATGCATTCCATTTATTGTCTCTGGTATGTGTGTGTAATTGGGTCACGTTAATGCAGCCACGATAGACGCTACACTCGCCACTATTACTCCATTCGCAATGTATGGTCTGGCAGCTGCCCTCTTCTCAGATCAGAACCCGCAGGCTTCCATCACAGCTCCATGCCTTTGTGTGGATTAGGTGATTGAGGTTGCCTTGATTCTTCAATAAATCCATTCTTTTTTTGGTTTCTCCCCCTCCCAATTATATTTCCAATTGTCCTATCGGTGCTGGGGAACGAAACGAAGGAACACGCTGATATCTTGGAGCGTGTTGGAAAACGGTCCACGTAAGTGGATACCAGAGAGCTACCTTTGGGATCCCTTCAAGTGAACTTTGGTCCTTGCACAGCAGAAGGCAGCCCTCTCTCACCCGCTCGACATGTGAGAGCGATGTCCACATACTGGTCAGATCCAATGTTTTAATTGGCATCAGCAATTTAACAAGATTAAGTTGAAAGCTAAACAAAAACTGTAAAATTTGAAAGATTAAAAACGGTAAACTATTTTAATTTTAGCAGGTAAAGCCCACTTTGCTATATTGCTCTTTTTCAGAAGCGACCTGACCGCAAATGATAGCTCAATGAAGTGGCTATATGGAAATCTATCGCGGCCAAATACTCTTAAACACATGTTTCTAAACGTGGAGGGGGAAAAACCGTAGGACCCACAACCACGGGGAGAACGCGCACACTTCAAAAATACAAGGCGTCGGGATCAAACCCACGACCTCCTGCATACCTGCCGAGGTATTTAACATCTCGCCACCGTGGTGCCCAATGTAACATGTTTTGAGTGTGCAGTCATTGGTGACCGCGCTAAGACCATCAACCCTCTCCACTTCAGAACCCTGTTTAATCGCAGGATTGAAACCCAGCTTCTCTGTGGTGCCAGCACAACGCTCTGACCTCTGAGCCAGCCGACCATTTTTACATGCTTTTTTTTATTGGCTGATTATTCATTGCCAATCATCCGTACTACCTTTGAATAAAACAATTTACAGCGAAGGAACTTGACGTACAGCGGAAAACCGTTCAAAGGGAAGGAGAAAAAAATCGAATCACTGCTAAAAAATGGAAAGTTGCCAAATGTGAAATATTTTGTTTAGAAGTACTTTTATTTTTTACAAATGTGTATTGGTGCGAATCGAAGACGTTATATTTTCAGGACAATGCAAAGAAAAATCTAAATCGCACGCTACACGGGAGAATATTGAAGTCCCGATTTTGCCAAATACTACTCTAATGGTTGTATAAAAACTCATGTATATACGTTGTAAAGCATTTGTAATGAAACCTTTGTGTCTGATTTTAATGTGTAGAATGAACGGAAGCCTGTATCATTTCTGAGTTAATCAAATGAAAGTATCCCATGTCGCAATGTTAGCTGACTTCAGTGGTTTATCTCAGCAAGTGATGGAAACTCCACATTCCTATGATAATGCTCAGTCTCTGCTTAGCACCACCAACTATTTAGTTTCTACTCTTAGGTTTTTTTCGGTAAAGTCACATAGGTAAAAATAATAATAAAATAATAATAAATGATACTTTTTGTTATTTTTCATTTATTTTAAATTTTACCTACGTGACTTTACCGAAAAAACCTAAGAGTATGAATCCTTGCAGTCACGAAAGCCTCAAATCTATAATTATTTAGTTTCTGCCACGTAGTGTCTAGCTGGTGGTGCTTTATCACCAACTGGTGATATTGCTGCTCGCCATATCGGGTCGAAGCTCAAGATGACCATCGGCCAATGGCCGTTGACCCCACCACACCTTGCCCAGCCGCTCGTTGACCTTTCGCCAGATCCCGCAGCTGCTGCATAGTAGACACGTGACCTCCGCAAGATTTGAATTTGACGATCTGCCACTATCTGGAGAGAGACGCGTTATTACGGAGGCGTGGGTTTGTGCGTTTGGTGTTTCGCCCGCTCGTCGCCACTGTTTCGAGGCCATCTCGTGCTTGCACACGTGATCGTGTTGAGGGTAAAGAACCCCCAATTATCGTCCTTCGGTTCGTGGTTTTGTCCACGTGTTTGCAGTGAACTCTGTTTTTTGTTTCGCTTGCATTTGTCTCTTAATTTCTTTTATATTTTGTAAGAAGGAAATGTTCAGAATGTATTGTTTGCACGTTACTCTGAAAGGTCTTTTTCTTTCTTTAAAGGCTAGTAGTGAGAATGCGTTTGACATGTCGCATTGCTCGGGATAGGGGTGCACAGAGCGATGTTCTATACCAAGTGACACGCGTCTTTCACTCTGCGCCTCGCAGGAACAAAGGGAAAACCACGATGCTATCATGTGAGGTCAGAACCCAAAGCTTTTACCCTGTGTTTAATGCCCTCTGCATTAAAGCACATTAAAGGGGAGGGGGTAGTGGGTGGGGGGCTGGAGGGAGACAGCAGTGGTGTGTGTGGCGATGGTGTGGTGGTTACCACACTGCACTCGCTATCAACCCAGATACTGAAGTTACATTTTCCGGCCACGGCTAAAATCGGTAGTGTGCGATATCAAGCTCCTGTACCCCCCCCCCCCGTACCCTTCAACTCGCACTGATCAATGTGTGGTGAAGTAGGGGGTCAAGCACCCCCCCCCCCCCGCGATTGACACTATGGG